GAGGAGGAGGGAAAAGTCGAGTGTGCAAGAGGACATTGCAACACAACCCACTGTTTTTGTAGAAACGATGTTCCCCTAATCAAAACACAGTTGCATAAATGGACTCGTTCTGCTTAAGAAAAAGGAGGGGGGATTGTTTAAACTCTATAAATGGGGACCTTGCAACCCCGAGATTAATTTCTTCAAGTTCTTTCTCCACTTTCTTTTTCAGAAGGTAGCTAAAAATAAAGGTTTGGAACTTGAAATAATGTAAGCAAGTAATCTCTCTCTCTCTCTCTCTCTCTCTCTCTCTCTCACACACACACACACACACACACACACATACACACACAGCTTTTCCCATATATGGCCACATTATTCTTTAGTCTTTGAAAAGGCCAAATGAAGAGATGGCCAACAACCAAAATAATCCTTCAGACATCTGAAAAGGAGGAGAGAGGACTAGAAGGGTTGGTGAATGACAAACGAATGCCAGGCTCAATGGGGATAAATAACACCAAGAGGGATTAGTTGCCATAGTGCCTGAAAAACATGGGCACATGCATTTTGACACGGGGCCTCTTCTCTAGAGAGACTGTTTTGCCCTCTGGCCTCAGCACTGAGAAAACTACAACTGCAGTAATTTAACATAAAGGGCTTAAAGAAGGAAACCAGTGCAGGGGCATGACTGAAAATTTAATTAAGGCCCTTCTCAGCACAAAAATCTGTAAAAGAGATGAGGGCACAGCTCGAGGTCAGAAGAGGGGGTGGGGGAAACATGGGAAAGATCTGAATGAGATTTGAGAACATAAATAGCAGAGGTCAGCCCTGCAGGTCAGTGGCCTTGTGATAGATGGCTGTTACAGTGTCTATTGGGTCTTGCTGGAAAGGTTTCTCTATAGAAGGCTCATGTCAAACAAAGGCCACCTTGTGTGAGTCAGGGGGAAACGTCACATTTTCCCAGTGTCTTATGGTTTATAGGCCATGTCAGATGCACCCCTGGACACAAGGTGAAGCATATGATTAATTGATAGGAAAATGAAGGCTCAGGGATGTTAAGAGACCTAACGACAGGCCTACTGTGGGTGGCATTGTGCAAGAACACTGGAGTAGAGACTGCAAGCTAAGTCCCACAATGTGTGGGCTTGCTTTTTTGGTGGGGGGAGGTACTGGGGATTGAACCCAGGGGTGCTTTACCACTGGGCTGCATCCCCAGTCTTTTTATTTTAAGACAGGATCTATCTCCCTAGAGTTGCTGAGCCTGGCCTTAAACTTGCAATCCTCTTGCCTCAGCCTCCTAAGTTGCTGGGATGATAGGTGTGTGCCACCATACTTGGCTTGGACCAGGGCTCTTTCTACCCACAAAATCTTCAAAGAACACTGGTCAGACTGCCAGGTTTGGGTTTATTTATTTACTTATTGGGGTACTGCAGATAAACTCAGGGGCACTCAACCACTGAACCACATTTGCAGCGCTATTTTGTATTTTTTTTTAAAGAGAGAGAGGAGAGAGACAGAATTTTTTAATATGTATTTATTCATTTTTTTTTTTTAGTTTTCGGTAGACACAACATCTTTGTTTGTATGTAATGCTGAGGATCGAACCTGGGCCGCATGCATGCCAGGTGAGCGCACTACCACTTGAGCCATATCCCCAGCCCCCTATTTTGTATTTTATTTAGAGACAGGGTCTCATTGAGCTGTTTAGGGCCTCACTTTTGCTGAAGTTGGCTTTGAACTCGCGATCCTCCTGCCTCAGCCTCCTGAGTCACTAGTATTACAGGAGTACATTACCATGCCCAGCCAGGTTTGAATTTAGATTGCAGCTCATTCACTAACTCTATCAGTGACCATAGACAGGTCATTTCTCTTCTTCTGATTCTAATCCACAGTTGGAAAATAATAGAGCTGGCCTTGACAGGAGGTGGGTATTTGAGGGGAAGAGAGAAGCACACATGAACCAAGTGAGTCTCTCCTTGCACATCAAATTGGTGGGCACTGTCACCAGTGCACTGAAAGGAGGCAGACTGCAAGTTACTACTGAACCACAACATGAACGCCAGGGGAATGATTTTCCAAAGGAGAAGACCAGAAAGCCTCTTCATTCCTCCAAGAAAAGGGTCATGGAAACAAATGAAACAGCAACATCAATGCTAAGTATTCATCCTACAGCTTCATTCTTTTTCCTTCCTAAGGGAATAGGCCTTCCTTATGATGTTTTGGCTTATATTTCTGAAAAGACATCCTTTTTTTGGTGACACTACATACTTCCAGTGGTTTTCCAAGGCTTGCCCATAAAGGCTGTCTATTGGGGTAAGTAGTCAATACTAATAACAAACAGGCTTGCCCATAAAGGCTGTCTATTTGGGTAAGTAGTCAATACTAATAATGCCCAAATAGCAGGCATCATTTGCTGAGAACCCTCAATACACTTTTTTGATGAGCCCTGTCAATCTACTGTCCTTGGTCTTTTCAGCTACCAGATGAGGCAGGTATATTTTAAAATAGGAGAACTTGGGGCTTGGGTAGAAGCTCAGTGGTAGAACACTTGCCTAGCACATATAAGGCACTGAGTTCGATCCTCAGCACCACATAAAAATAAATAAATAAAATAAAGTATTATTTCCATCGGTAACTAAAAAAATATATTAAAAAAAAAAGAGAAAATGAGAATTAAGACTTCAAGAAGTTTCATGAGTTGGTCAAGGAAGGCCACCTTCATAACTGCAGTACTGGGATTTAAACCACTGGGTGATTCCAAAGCCTGTTGCTTCTTTTCCTACTCTGTGATGAGGACTCTAGTCAGCTTGCCAAATGCATCGAAATGTCTGAGTAATGCTGATGCTGCTTTTTCCTGATTTCTTTTCACTGGAATACTGCAGGAGTATATTTGGGGGAGGGTGTCATAAAATTCCCCCACTGACAGCCCAGCTGTGGGATAAGCGGGCTGGGATGGTGGAATGGTAAAAGGACTCCCATGTGTTCCCCTTGCACCAAAGGGATCAGGTCCAGAATCCTGATTTCATTTTCGGATCACTAACCTGGTGAGGTACAAGCCCAAGAGAGGTTGGAGGCTCATTCATGCGATCATCACTGCTGCTGGCAATGGCGTAGCCCCTGGGGACAGGAAACAATTAGAACTGTTCAGTTAACCAGAATTTATGGTGGACACTTAGAGATGATGCAGGAGGGAGGGATGTCCATGTAAGGTTCATGAAAGTAACCAAAGTGCTTGCTGAGCAGCACAAGCTAGCAAAAACCTCTTTTCCCTAGGGAGAGAAGGAAAGAGAGTAATTAAAAAAAAAAAAAAAAGTACGCTTGGTTTGAAGTTGGAAAGACCAGAGCATGTGACCACCATGCAAGTTATTTAGCTTCTGTGTGCTTCAGGTCCATTGTCTACAAGGTAGGAATAAGGAGACTGTGATGAATAAATTAGGAGCATTTTAGATAAACTGCCAAGCACAACGCTTTGTTTGTGATAAGCTTATAAGCATAAATTCCTTACTCTGAGATAGTCCTTATAAAACACCACAGAACATTTTTGTATTGAAATTTTAAAGTGGAAAACTTTCTAACTTTAATTTCACTTTTTTCTTTCTTCTTTTTATTTGTTCTTTCTTTTCTTAAAGAGATGGTCTCTCACTTTGTTGCCCAGTCTGGCCTTAAACTCCTGGTCCCAAAAAATCCTTCTGTCTCAGCCTCCAGAGTAGCTGGGACCACAGGAGCACCACTGTGTCTGGCTTAGCTCTGGAAGATGTTATCCCAAATACTTCCTCCCATAACGCAGCAATAAACATAAACAGCAGGGATAGCTAAGGCAGATGACAAACACGAGAGGACTAAAAAGCTGCCTACTTCCATTTAACTCCAGGACTTCTATACTAGTTACATACGGCAACAAAACTGTACAGAGGCCATCTTTTCAACTGTGCAGACAACCTCTAAGTCACAAAATGAATAGAAAATTCTTTCAAATTTGTGTTGACTTTCTGAGAACTAAATCTTAAATTTCTGAAAGATAAACCTTAAAAAAAGATTTTTGCTTCTTTCCTTCTTGTATTTCGTTACCACCTGGTTTAAGGACAAACATCCAGAGGCTACAGAGTGCCAGATAAGCACCCACTAAACAGGAGGCAGCGGGAGGCAGTCTGAGAAGAGAGGACAGCACTGCACGGTGATCAAAACACTCTGGAGCCACACTGGCTGAACAAAATCCTGGCTGAGCCACCTATTAGATATCCAAATTTTAGCCACTTGGTTATCCTCCCTGTGCCTCAGTTTCCCCATTAAAAATAGGACAAATAATCATTGTTCTTTCCTAATAGGTTTACTACGAGGATTAAATGGGTTCATATTTGTCAAGTGCTTAGAACAGTGCCTAGCAGAAAACGAGCACCAAATCATTATTTGAAAAATAAATCAATCATAATTCATCTGTAATGGAGTCAGGTGTGGATACCCGCTTGACATCAGTCTGGCTTGTCTCTGACCCTGACAATACAATCACAAGCAGGTACTGAGAGATCTTAAATTTCTATATTTCTTTTTGCTTCCTTTCCTTTTCTCTCCTCTTCATTAATTCTGTTTTTTTTTAAATGACTGACTCTATTTTTAAAATTAATTTTTGTCTCATTGTGTTTAAGGCAAAAAGAATTCTGTGGTTTATAAGCAAGACCTTTTCCGTGCTTGGAGAAGATAAGGTGTCCAGGTCACAACTGTATGAATTTTTTTACGTGGAATATAACACACATACAATGTGTTCAACGTATAGATACTAAAAGGCCCAAGGCCAAGTTAAACAAAAGCCACAAGCTCACTCACTTCTTTCTTCTCTCATATAAGCCTGGAACACTATGAGTCATAATAAATTTAAAAGTATTTTTAAACTGATGTGACACTAGTGAACTAAGAGGTCATGGCCAACCCTCTCACTGAGAATAAAAGGAAAGCAGATGCTGTGGTTTGGATGTGGCTTGTCCCTGTCAAAAGTTAGGTTGAAGCGATTGCCACTGTCATGGTATCCAGGTGGTGAAGCCTTTAAGAGATGATTAAAGGGCTCCACCCTCACTAGAAGCTGGGGTAGGCTCTCTCAAAAATGGGTTAGGTCTGGCAAGAGGGAGTTTGGTTTTACAGGACTAGATTAGATACCACAAAAACAGGTTATAAAGCAAGGTCACTGCCTTGCTTTCTCTCTCAAACACATGCTCTTCTGTATGTGCCACTTTCTTCCCTCTTTTCTGCCATGCTGTGATGCAGCACAAGACGCTCATCAAAAGTCAAATGGATGCCCACACCATACTCTTGACTTCCAGGACTAGGAGCCAAAATAACTTGGTCCTTGGTATTTTGTTATAGTAACAAAAAACAGATCAAGACAGTAGACAAAATATAAAAATCTTTGTTTGAAAGAATCAGAAAGATACCAAGGTAGGTAAGAATTAGTACAAAGATTTGTGAGAAGAGAGAAGACCATAAAAGTAAAACAGGCTTCTTTGAGAGGGATTCCCATAAAGTAACTCTCAACCTCCAAAAGCAATGACCATAGGATTACAAGTTGAATGTGACCCTAATAGGCTCATGAGGCTGGAGGGGAAAACCAGACTCTGAGTTCTGCTAATAAGGAAAAATCATGGAAAATATCTCAGGCATAAAGTTGGGATCACTAGGGCCTATCTCAGAGAAAAGGAGAACCAGAAAAAGACCATTCCTAAATGGATTAAGGTATTCTAAAGATGGCTAGTGAACTTACCAGCAGTTTTCCAGAAGAAAATGTAAATCACATCTCTACAATTTTTATATGTCATGTCCATCGCTCAATCAAAAATAACCAAACAGGGGCTAGAGGTATAACTCAGGGGTAGAACATATGCTTAGCAAGCACCAGGCCCTAGATATAATCCCCTGCAACATCCTCCAAATATTCAAGGAATTAGAGAAATTTCTTTTCTCTTTTTAAGAAAAGGTCTTACTCAGTGACCCAGGCTGTTCCCAAACTCTTGAGTTCAAGGGATCCTCCTGCTTCAGCTTCTCAAGTAGCTGGGACTATAAGCAGGTACCACTGCATCCAGCTTGAGAAGTCTCAATATTAATTGGGTATGTGAATACATCAAGGAATTCTTTGTTTTTACAACTAAAAACAGTAGTAGTAGCATACTAAAAAGATTCACTTTATAAAATGCTATATCTTGGATTTGCTTTTTAAAAAAGTCAGTAGGAAGAAGAAAAAAAGCACAGATAGCAGTATAGATAAATGATGGCTGAACATGTGTTGGTAGATGTTAAACCAGGTGGAGTAAACAGAAGGTTTAGTATATATGTTTGAATTTTCCATAATAACAACTTTTATCATTGTTGTTTTTAGAAATGGGTATATAAGAAGACAACACATGACCAGGTAGGTAGGAAAAACAATAGACAGCAGGAACAGAACCTTAGGAGATACAAACAATGGAGATATCTGCTAAAGGCTTAAAACAGGATTAAATGTTCTCAAGGAATCAAAAAGAACAAACATCAGATCTTCAGCAAAGACTAGGAAATATATAAAATAAGATCAAATGGTAGGCTGCAATTGTGGCTCAGTGGTAGAGTGCTTACCTAGCATGTGTGAGGCCCTGGATTCCATCCTCAGCACCACATATAAATAAGTAAATAAATAAATAAAGGTATAAAAAACCCCAATAAAGTCAAATGGCAATTCTGGCCCTGAAACATCTGATAATGATATTGGTTTTATACATAGCAGACATAAAGATGAGAGAATCATAACTGGAAGACAACCAAAGGCAAAGAGCTAGACTGAAGCAAAAAAGACAAATGATTGAAAATACAGAAGAGACCATGAAAGACACATGATTCCAACTGGTATGTAACTGGAGTCTCAAGAGAAACAAGGCAAAAGAGAATGGGAGAAGTAATTTTTCTAATATAATGACTGAGAATTTTCCACAATAGATGAAAGGCATTAAGCCACCGATTCACGAGGCACTAGAAAGCTCAGTCAGAAAAAATATAGAAGATGGTGTATGATGATCACACTTCTGAAAGGCAAAAGCAATAAGATCATCTTGAAGCAACTCAGGGGAGGCAAAAGGAGCAAAGCAAATTGCTCAAAACAGCAGCAATGGGAAAAATCTTTAACTTCTCAACAGAGATAAAGGCAACCAAATACAATCCAATTATACTCTCAAAGTGCTGAAAGAAAATGAGTGCCAATGTAGAATTCTATAGAACACAAGAAACCCTCTTTCAAACATGAAGACAGTTTCAGACAAACAAAACCTGAAATATATTTGTCACTAGTATTTCTTTTTTCTTTTCTTTTTGGTACTGGGAATTAAATCCAGGATATGCTATACCACTGAACCACATCCCCATCTCTTCTTAGTTTTTGAGAGAGGTCTCACTAAGTTGCCTTGGTAAGTTGCCTTGCTAAATTGCCTTGCTAAGTTGATAAGTCTGGCCTTGAACTTGGGATCCTCCTGACTCAGCCTTCTGAGACACTTGGATTACAGCCATGCTCCACCATGTCTGTCACTGGTATTTCTCAAAAAAAAAACAAAAAAAAAAACAAAGAAACTCTAAAGGAAATTGTTCTTTAGGCAGATGAAAAAATGCCCTACTCTGGGAGTTTGAAGATAAAGAAATGAAAAGCAACGAAAATGGGAATAAAAAAATTCTCTAAAACTAAACACCAAATATATAACCAAATATATAAACACCAAATATATAACAATATAGTTGGGAACTTAAAATATGTAACATTTCAAAAAAATAAATGTGAAGATACACAGGTTGTCTGTTCAACCTCCATTCTTCTACCTTCTCACAATAATTTTATACAGAGGGGCAATATGCCCAGCCAACAAAACAAAAGAAAACAAAACTACATTCATCAGTATTCCCTGCAACTAGGAGTTAGAATTAATAGGTTAATCTTTCAGGAAAGCTCTTTAAAAGGGGGCACACTCAGATGACCACAACATTCATCCTTTGGTCATTTCCTTCTTCTAAATGGGCACACAGATGTAATACTGATCGCACAATATCCATCCCATAACCACAAACTGCCATGCATGAGAAAGAAAGCTAAGAGTGGCTGAGTGAATGATAAGAAGTAACTCCAGTCCCTGATGGCATAATGGAATCTTTGTACTAACCCTGGACTGCTCACCTCTGAACTTCTTATTGCATAAGAAAGATAAAGCTCATTTGGCAAAGTTACTGAACATGAATCTTTGTTACATACAGTTGAATACAATTTCTGACATTGGTGATTCATGTACCACTTTACAAAGGTTCAAGGATGGAAAAAATAAAAACTTACTAGCACACTAGTGTCCAAGAGCCCTACCAAAACTTGTATTCTTCTTTATTAATAGTTGCCAAATAACTCAAGGGATATAGCCTCAAAGATCACATGGCAAGTTCTCCCTGTCCAAAGAATTGGACCAGGCTGGTTTTTTTTTTTTATTTGTTTATTTGTTTGTTTATTAGTCTTGTGTTTTTGAGGACAGAAAAAATAATAAAATTCTCAGAAAAGTCAGATTAAGAATAGGTCAAGCAAGACCAAATGCAAACAAATGCTTGCTTTGTTTAAACACTACTTCTAAATAGCAAACTCACCCTTCTGGATGCTGCAAAACAGACACCATCAATTCAACTGCCAGGGCTCCTGCAATCATGGCCAGTCCTGGACGACTCACTGTGCACTGTTGGTCCAAGGTCCGGTCTCTGGTTGACTGCAGAGAAACAATCATTGACACGTGCTGGAAGTTCTAGTCCACTCAACTCTGTTTGAGCAAGGCGCTCCTCCACGATAAAGCTTTAAAATACAACCAGATGCTCATTGTTGGCAGAGAACACCCAGCTTCAAATAACACCATTTCTGGGAGGATCAAGTTACACAAAATACACAATTCAGTTAATTCAATGAGGTAATAATTCTGAAAAGGATTAGCAGCCTCAACAATTAAAGATTGGTGATGGCAAGCAAAATGAGGGCTCTGCTGTCTCATACTGTGGATTTGCACCATGCACTCTCCTTCCACTGACTCAATTCAAATCTCTTGGGCTTGGTAGTTACATTGTGGAGACATAGAAAGGAAGAGTAATTTGGATAGGCAAGTGTCCTACCATTCTAAGCAAGCTAATGCTTCTGAGTGACCCAGAGATGGAAACAGGAGTTTGCTAACTTACAAGTCTCAGTTCCTACATGCCCCTTGAAATGTACACACCTCCTCACCCTTAATGTGGTCCCACAGCTTACCTACAAGCATTTTTGCTATAGCCTAGCTCCAAACATAAGCCTTCATTGATTCAACCAAAGAATTCTAATCTAAAAACTCTGGGCTAATTCAGGGGTGGTCAAGAAAATTTTGACTCTGAAAATCTTACTTTCTGAATGGACATGACTTTAGTGGAAGGGACCATGCATTCCTCTTGTTGGCAATAACTAAATGACAGGACCAGCCACATATTCTCATACCATGATGGGGATCATTGAACCATCTTCCTCACATAAGAGAAAGCTCATCTTTTCTTTATACTAGGTGGTCATAAAAGCCAGTCACACACACATACACACACACACACACACACACACACACAAAAAAAAAAAAAAAAGATATGCATCATTAAAGAACAAGTTTTAAAAGAAGGAGAAAATGTGTGTGTATAGAGGGTGGGTAGATACAGAAAGCATCTCTGCTTTGCTTCACTGGAAATTATGAGCTGTTCTATGAAAGACCACTCCTGCAGACCAACTCCAGTGGTGTCAATCAAGCTAGAGAATCTCACATTTGCACAGTGTGGTCTGGCAGTTCAGAGCACTTCCACACTTGACCCACTTTCTGCTGTGAGCTGACACAGCCAGCATTTTTCTTTCTTCTGCTAGCTTGCCAGATAAAATACAAGATGTGCAGTTCAATTTGAATTTTATACAAACAAACATTTTTTTAGTATTAGTAGGCCTCAAATATTGCACTGGGCATAATTATACTAAAATATTATTGACTGTGTACATGAAATTTAACATCTACTTGGAATCCTGCGCTGTCACTTGTTAAAAATGACAAATCGGGGCTAGGATGGTGGCTCAATGGTAGAGTGCTTGCCTAGCATGTGTGAGGCACTGGGTTCAATTCTTAGCACCACATTTAAATAAATAAAATAAAGAACCACTGACAACTAAAAAATATTTTTAAAAAAGCAATCTTTAATTTGAGCAAAAAAAAGATGACAAGTTGGTCTGGGGTTTTGGCTCAGTGATAGAGCACTCACCTAGCATGTGTGAGGCACAGGGTTTGATTCTCAGGACCATATATAAAAAAACAAATAAATAAAATAAAGGTATTGTGTCCATCTACAGCTTAAAAAAAAAAAAAAGACAAGTCTGTGCCCCACTCCCATTCTGCAGAGGCACAGGGAGTCTAGGAGGCTTATTTGGAATCACCTGTGAGACTGTGTCAAGGTCTGGATTGGCATCTGGATCTTTAGACTCGCTATGTTTACTGTTTATTTTACTAAGATAAGTACAGGAGAAAGTACTGCATGCTGTCAGGAACCAGGCTGGGCTATACTTTCCTCATTGAGCTCCTCCCCCTCCAAATTATCTGTGGCTGCATTTTTCTTGGTGAATGAGGAAAAGCTGGACAGTTGATGATTCCAATTGAGGCTCATCCTGGAACAATGCCATCCCCCCCCAAATAGGAGAATTCTCTTTGTGGAAAGACAGTCTATAAATAACAATGAAAGAGCTTTGTTTCTCTGCCCTACTACACAACATGGTCATCGGAAATCTTTGGAAACACCAAGAAATTTACTTACATCTCCTGGGGCCACCACATCATTGCAAAAATAACAGCCAAGTTTGTAACCCGGGATGTTGGCAAAAAGTGATGAGCCCAGGAGGTCAGCAGATGCTACTGAGTGACTGGGACACAGGTCCCCGGCTCCCTGCTGCTTTGGTTTCTTCAGGCCATGTCTCATGACAACAAATGTGTCAAATCCCAAGGCAGCATTGATGACCAGCTGTAGATATCAAGGAATAAGAGAATGGAAACATTTTTTAAACCAGGGCTAATTTCATATTTAGTTAAATTTTATAATTTTTTTTTGCATAGGAGTATAACTGGACTCTAACAACCAATGATGTTACAAGCTTCCCAATACTGAGGGTTTATTAAGCATAAGGCACTTAAAGAGTGATTATCTTTAATTATTTCATTTCATTTAAAACTCCCTACAAACACTGTCCAATTTTAGATGAGGATAATGGAAGTCAGAGAGTTTACTTCTATTACTGGCCCAAGGTCACATAGCTTATAGGCAGAAATGTAAAACCAAGTTCTTAGGCCCATTCTTTGTACCATTATATCACATAGATTTTTTTCTTTTTCTTTCTTTTTTTTTTTTTTTTTTGGTCCTGAGAATTGAACATAGGGTTGCTTTACCACTGAACTACATCCTGAATCCTTTTATTTTTTTATTTTGAGAGTTCCGCTAAGTTGCTGAGGGTCTCACTAAGTTGTTGAGGCTATCCTCAAACTTGTGATTCTCCTGCCTCTATCTCCCAAATTGCTGGGATTACAGGTGTATGCCACCACACTTGGCTCCATGTAGATTTTTTTATAACAGTTTCATGGAGATATAATTCACATTATCATATAATTCATTTACCACATAAATTTTTAAGGACATCTTTTTTTCATTTATACTATAAGAACTTTTCTTAATTATAATTTGATGTGTTCTCTCAAATTTCTGATCATATAGAAAGTATGAAAAATACTTTTAGTATGAACAAATCACACTAAAAGAAAAAAAAATCACTCAACATACACAGTTCAAACAAGTAAGAGTTTGAAACATTACTTCTTGCTATCTCCTCTCCCTTTTACTTCCTCCCCAACTTTCCCCTTTCTCTTTCCCCTATTTCTTTTCTCTCTTGATAGATGGATGAATGGATGGATAGACATATAGAAATGTTTATATGTATATGTTTATATCTAAACATAATTGATACTAAAATATATACAATATTGTATCTTATTTAACACAGCATGATATTTTCCATATTAAAATTCTTTGAAACATAAATGTGAATGGTTGCATGCTATTCCACCATGGGTATTGGATTGTGATTTAGTTCACTATTCTCTACTGATGGCCCTTAAAATTGTCACTGACCAAATATTAGTGAAAGTTCCTGCCTTCTTGGAGCTCAAATTTGAACCCAGGTGTATCATTCCTGCTGGTGTTGAGCACCTCAAAGGACCTTGAGGGAAGGTAAACTGTAAACACTAACTATTATCTTGGGTAATGAAGTGAGCAAAAACAGCATCTGTAGTGAAAGCCCTTTGGCACTGGGCTCTAGGGTTACACATGTCACCCCTCTTTGCTGGAAGGGAGCAAAGGTTAGGGTGGTGGTACATTAAGTCACAGGGACAAGCACCCCTGGTTCAACACACTACCTTTCTCTTGCTTGCAGCAATGACTGCAGGAAGCCACCGGCTTTCCCTGGTGTCCATCAACAGGAAGATGACATCATGGCTTTCAATGAGCTGCTCCAGCTGCTCTACATCCTTGCGGGCTTGCTCCAGGGTGATGCTGGAGAAGTTCACTGGATGACCCGGCATGGGGATGCTCATGTTGAACCCTCTGGCATTCTAGGGAAACACCCAAATGTATTTATGTCTGAGGTAAAGGTACAGGTGAGCTCTCAAGACCATACTTCCCCACAGCTACTAGCACATATATGTGGTCACTTAAAACTAGAAATTTCTGTGTACCGTAATATTGCTTTTTCCTTACCCTACCTATGCCTTCCACCTCTTTCACCTCTTAAAAATCAAGACAAGCTGCAAATCTTCCTTGAACCTTTTCTTTCCCCTGATATGGGGGATTGAACCAAGGCCTCACACATGCTAAGCAAGTGCTCTACCACTGAGCCTCAGCCCCAGCCCTCTTGCCTGATTTTAACAGTGAACCACATGTGAACACTGATGAAGCCAGGGACATTAACTTCTCATAGAAAAGACAGTGTTCTAGAGTCACCAACTGTACCCTTAATCCCCCACATTCCTCTGGCCACAAGGAAGTGTGTGAAAACATCAACTTTTCTATTCATTTGCCAAAACTCTTCACCCTGAAAAAAACAGTTCAGGGGCAAAGCAAGTAGGTCTTTTTACAAAGGAAAATGTATTTTGTAGATTGAAGATATTTTTTCCTTGTCTTCAACTTGAAGCCTAATCTCTGGAATTAAAGAGAGGGGCAGCAATGATTCCAAAAAGATAGGGGGTGGGGAGTTCCAAGCAAAGCAGGAAAGGATTCTAGGAAGCAAGAGCTTCAGAAAAAGATTCCCAAACAAGTCCATTTAAAAAAAAAGAGACTGCCATAAAGACCAAGACCTCATTATAAACATGAGATATCACGCATTTACCTTGTACCAATTACTATAATAAAATATTATGAAAGCAACACCTACAGTGCTAATAACAATAATAACTTAATGGCATATTACAACTGACAAAGCATGTTAAATGGTGGGAGTGTGATCCAAAAAGCTATTGTGTAGGTTTAATGACACCAAGATTGGCACATAATTACACAATACCCATTCTGACCTTCTGAATAAATGATCCTTAGCCATATAAACTTCACTAATCTAAATAAACTTTTACTGGCTGAAATTTCAGCTAGTAAGCTGACAAAGCAGCCCATTCCTTAGGTCCATACTCCAGAGGTTCAACAAACTTAATTCAGCAAGTTTCAACACAGTGGTTTTCCATCTTTGCTGCACAGAATAATTTATGAGAGTTCTAAAAACCCCCAATCACAGGCTTTTCTCCAGACTGTTAAAATTGGAATCTTTGAGAGTAGATGTAGACATCATTATTTTCTAAAACTCCCCAGATGATTCAAAAGTATAACAAGGATGAGGTATAACTTATATAAAGTGAAATACCCATATTTCACATGGACAGTTCAACACATTTTGACAAATTGAAGAGTAATCACTGCATATACCTGTCAGGACGTGGAACACTTCGATAACCCTAGAATGCTCTCCTGTACCCCTCCTTATCCAATATCAACTACCACCATTATGACTATATAAAGACAGCTGAGTTTTGCCTATTCTAGAATCTGAAATAAATGATATCCTAAAAATATACTCACTTATGTTTGGCTTTGTTCAAGCAACATAATGCTTCTGAGGTTCATCCATATCGTTAAGGATCAATATTACATTCCTTTTTATTGTGTTACTCTACCATATTTTTTCATTCATTCTCTACTTGCTGGCTTGAGTTATTTCCTGATTTGGGCTATTATGAATAAAGTTGCAAAGGGCATTTTTATATAAGTATTTCAATGCACATATGTTCTTTCTCTTAGGTAAATTATCGAAAAGTGAAACTGTAATTGTTAGGTGTGCATGTTGAATTTCTTGTGGCCAAAAAGTATAGAGTGTCTGGTTGCTCCACAGCCTGACATTTAACACTGTCAAATCTTCTTAATTTTAATCATTTTAGTGGTTTATAATGATATAGCTTTTCTTGTGTGTGTGTGTGTGTGTGTGTGTATGTGTGCACTCACATGGGTGCTGGAGATTGAAACCAGAACCTCATGTTCATCACTGAGCTATATCCCTAACCTCTACAATAATATGTCTTCATGATCCTATTTTATATTTCCCTAGTGACTATTGATACTGAGCATTTTTATGTGTTCACTGGCCATTCATAGATCTTCACTGTGAAGTAAGTACCTATCCAAGCCTTTTGTCCCTTAAAAAAAAGGCTGGTTTGAATTTTTATCATGGAGTGGTAAATGTTCATGTATTCTAGGTAGAAATTGTTTGCCAAATATGTACTCTCAGTTTAGCTAGTTATTTCATTCTCTAATTGGGGTCTGTTGAAAAACAGAAGTTAACAATTTTTTTCATTTATAGCCTGTTTTACTGGGTTCTAAGAAATATTTGACTATCACAAGACCATTGAGCTTTTCTCTAGAAGCTTCACAGTTTTAGCTTTAGTTCTATGTTCCTTCTGGATTGTCACTTGCAGGCTCAGAGTATTCAATGAGGTCTTTGTACTCTTATAATTGGGGTCCTATGACTCTCGGCCCTGTGTGACCTCTGTAATCTCTACTAGCTCACAGCCCCCTGGTGATGTTTCCTTCCCAGCATCCCAGAGGGGTACCTAAGTATATGCAGCTTAAAAAAAGGGGAGGGACTCAAGGTGCTGCTGAAGAAGGTGAGGCAGTTTTTTGGAACTTCTTCTCTGTACTTGTATCTGTCACTGCTTCACCAGCTCAGCAAGAACAGAATTATCTTCTTGGGTACCTCAGGCTTGGCACTGAACAGAAAGTACCACTAGACAATTAACTGGGACAAATGTTCTTGATTTCCTTCTGTGGGGACCCACGATCTTCCACAGCCTATTGTCTAAAAAGAGTCATTCGCTGTTTCACATACTTTGCCTGGGAGCACAATTATTTAAGGTGAGAAAGCAAGTCATTATCAGGATGAGAAGCAGTTGTCCAGAGCTGGATTTTCAAACCTCAAGTGTGAGGCTGAGGGTGTATCTCAGTAGTAGTAGCCTAGCATATGTAAGGCCCTGGTTTTCACCTCCCACCCAAAAAACAAAAACAAAAACCCTTTGGTCTGCTCCTAAAGCCTACATTTTATTGTTTCACCTTTAAAAAATGGTGACATCAAATAATAATTTGATTTATAAAAGACTGTTTTCTTATCCAATTAACCTCAGGATTAGGCACAAGCATCTGCAGTAGAGCAGTTCTTTTAATGTAATTTTATATAGCATTTTAAAGACTTCCTGAAAAGTTCAATGAGACACCAACATCAGAGAGTCAAAGAAAAGGGATTACTTGGCCAGGCATGGTGGTGCACACCTATAAACCCAGTGGCTTGGGAGGCTGAGACAGGAGGATCGCAAGTTCAAAGCCAGCCTAAGCAATGGAGAAGTGCTAAGTAGCTCAGTGACCCTGTCTCTAAATAAAATACAAAATAGGGCTGGAGATGTGGCTTAATGGTTGAGTGCTCCAGAGTTCAATCCCCAGTACCCCCCCCCCAAAAAAAATTACTCAAGGAATCACATGCAGAAAAAAAATAAAGAGATTCTTAAGATCTGGACTTTGAGTTACTTGAGGGTCTGGGGTCAGAAAATGGTTAGTTTGGGTCAAAGATATTTTAGCGCAAAAAGTAAAAGTCAGACTTTCTAGTTCTAGGGGAGAATAAATTCAAGGTTCTCCAAGTTAGCCATCCACTGACATCACCCTGTCACCTAGGTCTGTCACCCAGGGGTGGCTGGGGGATGGGTGCTTACAACCTCTTGGGACAATATCACTGCACCTTCCTGTGAGTGTATTATGTCAAAATTAAAATTAAAAAAGACCTATCACCCGTTACTTTTTTTTCCCAAGTCAAATGTTACTAGGCTTCAAGTTCCAAGATTAGAATTTTGCAATAATTGAACAAGTGAGGCAATCCTGCATTAACAGAACCAGGATTTCTACCATTTCCAGGTGATTAGATTGCCTGAGAAGTCTGCATTTCATATATCTGCTAACTTCAAAAGCCCACTTCTCTTGCCTGAAATGCTCTTCTAGACCTCTGGCCTCTCCCACCACTTTCTGCTTCTCGTCTACCTCTCTCAAACTGTTCTTTTAATTAATTCCTTCAGAGCTCAGGGCACATGGCACTGCCTGAAGAAAGCATTCTCTAGCCCAGCAAACCTGTACAGGGCCCACTCTTTTGTATTTCATCAACTCAGATTCAAAGCCAAGTCCTCCCTCTACTTATTCTCCTTAATACTTACTATTTTCATTATAATTTTAAAAATTAATTATTCAGCATATATGTGATCAACTAGAATATAAGCTCTATGAAGATAGGGCCAACCTTTGTTCATGGAGGCCTGACCTTTTTCTCTATGGCTTGGTGTAAGAAAGGTGATCGATAAAGATATATTGGATGAAAAAAGCTATTTTAAATCAAGCGTATGAAGAAAATCTTCTATGGTTAACTAATAAGTTATACAGTTTCACAAGAACTTTTCATGAAGTTGATAAATTATACAAATACTCAGATGAGTTATTATTTATAAGGCACAACAAATAAAAGTCTTGGAAGCTTGGACCCTGGCCTCACCTTAATGCAACAGGGAAAAGAGGATAACACAATGTAAGTGCTAAGAAAGAGGCTTGGTTGCTCGGTGTGCTGATTTTCCCAAGAAAAGTTGGACTTGATCTCTAAGGCCCAGCATAATCTGGCCCTTGCTTCTGCCTCAGCCTCCCTTCATCTTCTTTGACATCTAAGCTTCAGCCACCCTGGCTTTCTTTCAGGTCCTCAAAAGCATCACACTCTTTCCTGCCTTAGATTTTTTTCACAGACCAGCTCTGCTACCTTAATTTAGCCTACTCCCACTCACCCTTCAGGATTTCATTCCCTGATTCCACGCTCAGTCCTTAATCTAGCTCAGGCCAACCTGCCACACATGCTCATGGCAACTGAACTCTTGATTCACACATACACTTATGACAATTATAACTATTTGTGGGGCTGGGATTATGACTTAGTGGTAGAGTGCTCATTTAGCATATGTGAGACACTGGGTTTGATCCTTAGCACTACAGAAAAATAAATAAATTAAATAAAGGTATTGTGTCCATCTGCAACTAAAAAATATTGTACATATTTGTGAAATTATTTATTAATGACCATTCCCCTCCCAATCACTAAACTATCATAAACTCCCAGTAGAGCTGGGGGAGGGGGAGAAATGTCCATCATTTCTTTTGTCCCTGCACAAGGTAAGCCTTAAATAAACACCTAATGAATGAGTAACAGAATAACTAAACAAATAAATAGGGAATTGCATGGGCTCATAGACAATGGCTAGAATTTAGGAAAGCAAAAACTCAGGAAACGTACAAGTGGCAGAACTCACATTCAAAGCCAAGTCCCCATGGTCCCTGAGGGGAGTACCTAATACCTCCCCAGTGATAGACTGGATCATTCTTCCCAACCACGCCCTTGCTCCCTCTAGTAGAATTTCATGTCCAAGCCCTTTGCCACATGACTTTCAGTTCCTCCCATGGAGAAGGCAGAGTCTACTGACTAACCCATTGACTCTGGGCTTGACCCTGAGACTTGCTTAGGCACTGGAAAGGAAAGGCCCTGCACTGTGCCATGCAGCTGAGCCTATAAGAGGCTGATGACTGCAGATTCTTTTAGGCTTCTACTTTCTACTATAAGAACAGCAGGACTGAGGTGACTATGGCTCTTTAGCCTCTACTGTTTTAACTAGTGCATTATGATCACATGTAACAGTGGGATTTTGTGGTATATTTGTACATGCACATAACATAATTTGATCAATTTTATTCCTAGTTCCTCCCTTTTTTATCCCCTTCTACTCCTCCTGTCTTGCTTCTTCAATTCTACTGATATTCTATTTTCATGAGGTCCCTTCTTAAATTCTTTTCTTTCTAGCTTCTAAGTATAAGAGAAAACATATGATTCTTGACTTTCTGCATCTGTTAGCCTCCATTTTGAAATAATGGCACACACTTCAGACCAGAAGCTGACTAAAAGTCCTGAATTCAACCTAGTCTAGCAACAGTACCATAAACAACCTGCACAATCATGAACAGGAAATAAATGTTGTTAAATGAGATGTTAGGATTGTGTGATATGTAATACTGTGACAGCAGAGACCTACCTACTATCCCTCCTCAATGACAGGGTTATGACTTATTTTATTTATTTCGGCATCTAGCACATGGCTGGGTACACAGTGGGTACTCAATCAATACTGTTGAATTAAACCCAATAAATGATTCCTCAGGGATACTGGTGAAATGAACAAAATGATCAACATGACTTCTAGAGCAAAGACTTCTGAAACAGATGAATCAATACTGAGCAATTAAATGGAGAAACTTTGGAAAGACAGGTTTTTTTGTTTTGTTTGTTTTGTTTTTGTTTTTTTGGTGAGGGCTGGGAGCCTTTCTGGCATCTTAAGTAAAAGTAGATGCTTGGAAGACACCTAATCTGACTCCTGTCAGATAAACTGATTAAGCATTAAGATGCAGAATCTTGGGGCTGGGGTTATGGCTCAGCGGTATAGCACTTGCCTTATGCATGCAAGGCCTTGGGATTGATCCTCAGCACCACATAAAAAAATAAATAAATAAAATAAAGTTATTGTGTACAACTTCAAAAAAAGAATAAATATTTAAAAAAAGATGTAGAATCTTAGCTAGATGACCTCAAAAACAGGAAAAAAAAAAAGCTCAAGATTGTGAATCAAATGAGGTGAATGACATCTCTCATTATCTAATGTTTCTAAAGCCAATGATGTAGCTCAAAAATAAGCAGCAGCTAGAAAAAAGAAAATCCAACTTTTACTCAATTTTTATCCTCCACAGACTTGCATTAAATTTAATTTCATAAACCTACACTAAGTGACTATCAAAGAAGGTCTGGTGATAAGGAAAAAAACAATATGCTACATCAGGGCCACCATAAATTCCCCTTAGAACTGCACAGGATATAAAAATATACATACTTCTAAATTTCTCAAATTAAATTTACACAATGCTTTGCAACTTACAAAACATTCATTCATATACTTTTCATTTCATTTTCACCGGAATATATGAGGTCTTTGTTTTGTTCTGTTTTGTACTATTGGAGACTGAACTTGGGGCTTCATACATACTTGGCAAGTGTTCTACCAATGAGCTACATGCCCAGGCCCCTTTATTTTTTATTCTGAGACAGGGTTTCATAAGTTGCTTAGAGCCTCATAAATTGCTGAGGCTAGCCTCGAACATGTAATCCTCCTGCTTCAGCCTCCAGAGTCACTGGGCTTATAGGCATGCACCACTATGCCCAATCTTGCTGTATTTTTTAATCTCTAGCTCAGAGATGAGGTAACAGTCTTGGTCACATGATGAATGCCTGTTAGGGAGTGACACGTGTCTGTTTCTCTGTAACTGATACCACAGGTATTCATTCCCCAAGATTTTTAAACATTTATAGATGAAAGGAAAAAACCTGTGATGGTCTCAAAAAGCATCCACTTACCACTCCGGGGAATATTTTCTGGAGCCGGTCAGCTGCAGCTAAAGCCTTTGGTTTACCTCCACCTAGGCAATCTTCGAATTCATAGAGAGGCTGCCTCACAGGATTGGAATAGGAGATCTTGGCATTGTCCACAAATGTGACGTGTCTGACGCCCCAACCCTACATGGAAACAGATCATGGTATGTTCCTATGAATATTTCACATGGTGTCTCTCTTAAAATTCCTAGGAGGGGTTTTCCTTTCAAGCAGCTTGGGAATCTCAAAATACAGGAAACTTCAGAAACTGAATTGTACAAGTTCAGTTTTTGATAAACAGAATGTCAACTTTCTTTAAAAGACAAAATAATTACATGCTAAGTACCAGGTTTCCTGCTGTAATGAAACCAAGAAATGTTAGAATGGGTCTAACTAATATTTCATAATTTTTGACAGTGGCACCAGAAAAAAAACATTTGAAAGTGAAAAACAGTGACTCCCCTAAGAACTCTCTATGTTGCTATTTTAAAAGGATTAGCAAGAGCCCCAAATGTCCTGGGTTTCCTTAAGAATAATTAAGTATAGATAATAACTCCTCTCAAAATTTATTTAAGGCCTGAGTTAACTCCAGAAAAATGATTTACAAGTCATTTCCCACTGTATAATAATGTAGAACATTTCATCCTATTTCACCAAGATTGACAAGCCTTATTCATAATTGGGCATTTAGGGGATGATTTTATGTTCTCATAAATAATTTTAATGATATCATAGACTCTAAATGCATCTCCATAAAGTTTTATAAAACTATACTTAAAAATTTTTCTTAAAACTGAGGATTGAACTCAGGGGCACTTTGCCACTAAGCCACATTCCCCAGCCATTTTTATTTTTTATCTTGAGACAGGGTCTATCTAAGTTGCTTAGAACCTTGTTAAGTTGCTGAGGTAGGCTTTTTTTTTTTTTAATTGGTTGTTCACAACATTACAAAGCTCTTGACATACCATATTTCATACATTAGATTGAAGTGGGTTATGAATGCCCAATTTTACCCCAAATGCAGATTGCAGAATCACGTCAGTTACACATCCACAATTTTACATAATGCCCTATTAGTAATTATTGTATTCTGCTACCTTTCCTATCCCCTACTATCCCCCCTCCCCTTCCCTCACATCTTCTCTCTCTACCCCATCTACTGTAATTCATTTCTCTCCTTGTTTATTTTCCCATTCCCCTCACAACCTCTTATATGTAATTTTATATAGCAACGAGGGTCTCCCTTCATTTCCATGCAATTTCCCTTTTCTCTCCCTTTCCCTCCCATCTCATGTCTCTGTTTAATGTTAATCTTTTCTTCCTGTTCTTCCTCCCTGCTCTGTTCATAGTTGTCTGAGGCAGGCTTTGAACTTGTGATTCTCCTGTCTCAGATTCCTGGGTTGCTGAGATTATAGGCACCACCATGCCTGGCCAAAATTACACAAGTTTAAAGTTGGACAGAATCTCTAAAATCCTTGGTATAATCAGTCTGTTTTACAGATATAAAAACTGAAATGTAAAGAAACATAGAAAAGATAAGTTAGTTGTCTAAACTCATATATCTAGTTAATGATGGGAATGAATGAGATCTCCAGAGTTGCTCCCAAATGAAGATGCCTACTTTCTTGGGGTGAGATGGGTATATTTCAGATCATGTATAAGTACATTCATCCCTCTGTATCCAAGGGTTCTGAATCTAGACTCAACTTACTGTGGATGGGGGAAAAATTGCTTCTGTACTGAAAATGTACATATTTTGTTCATGTTATTATTCCAAAACCTACAGTATTATAACAACTATTTATATAATCTTTACACTGCATTAGGTATTCTAAGTAATCTAGAGATGATTTAAGGTATATGAAAGGTTATATGTTAGTTCTATGCAAATACTAGGCCATTTTAATATAAGAGACTGGAGCATTCTCAGATTTTGATATTCGAGGTCATCCTGAAACCAATTACCCTTGGATATTGATGGATGACTGTACTGCAATCTAAGAAGCCTTTTCAACTCAGGACTCTGAACTCAGTTAGACTGACTGTTTCAGGGAGACAGTCATTGAGGACTCAAGACTCACTCCAGGGTTGTGAATGACAGTCTAGAATCCCCTTTTTGTAAGCTTAGTATGGGCTATTTGTTTTGATGCCCACTGGTAACTCTTTGATATACACAACCAGATTCATTAGCTAACCAATCTACTCTGGAGGGAAAGATAAGTAAGAAAAATCCAAAACTCACTTGTACTTGGTTTGGGATATTTATTTCAGAAGTATTTTCACATTCCTGAGTGAACAGCAGGGAAGATGGTCTGGGAACATGCTAGGTAGTGGGATGAAAGCCAGATAAGCTGCAAACATGCTGTAAACTAGTCACATGCAGATGAATTTTCACACTTAATTTCTGACTTCTTGGAATGCCACATAGTTTAAAGGGCTAATCCTCGAAGATTAAAGAAAATTACAACCCTCAGTGTCAGTGAGGATGTGGCAGTGAAAAAAAAATATTATTGATTGAGAATGTTAAACTGGTGTAATTTTTCTGGAAAGTAATTTGGCAATTGTTTCTAGGATCTTAAAAATAGTCTTTGACCTATTTCCAGCAATCTATCCTAGGAAATAATCTGAAATACTGCCAAAAGATGCAACTACAAAGATATTCTTTGTAACATAATTTATAATTGTAGAAACCTAGACACACCATTAGTGCCAAATATGAGAGGAATGTCTTAGGAAATTAGAGATGTGATTAAATGTTTTGTCAGGTGACGAAGTTTATTCTACAATCATTACAAAAAACTAAGAAGTATCATTTTTAATGACAGAGGAAATTTTTACAATGCTAATTCATAAAAGAAAAGGAAATTATTATGTATCAAATTAGACTTGGAAATACATATTAAACAAACCTGAAAGGAAATGAGTAAAAGTGGAAAATGAATACTCTCTTTTCCTGCTTCATAACCTTGACACTTTATAAATTTTCATAATTAATCTATTCTGATCGCAATTTCAAAAAATATTAAGAAAACATAGGCACCTAATAGTCCAAACACTAACAAAAATACAATAAAATAAATTCCATGAAGAAATTAGCAGAATTAATGAATCCAAAAGCAAAACAAAACATAAAAATTATAGAACAGATACATCAACTATTCAGCTCCCAAAAATGATATTGTTTTACAGATATAAAAACTAAAATGTAAAGAAGCATAGAAAAGATAAGTTAGTTGTCTAAACTCATATATCTAGGGCTGGGGATGTGGCTCAAGCGGTAGCGCGCTGGCCTGGCATGCGTGCGGCCCGGGTTCAATCCTCAGCACCACATACCAACAAAGATGTTGTGTCCGCTGAGAACTAAAAAAATAAATATTAAAAATTCTCTCTCTCTCTCACTCTCTCTCCTCTCTCACTCTCTCTTTTTAAAATAAATAAAAATAAATAAATAAACTCATATATCTAATTAATCATGGGAATGAATGAGATCTCCAGAGCTGCTCCCAAGTATGGGCTGTTTGAATAAGAGTGGAAAAAAGAGAAAACAAACTTTGGGAATGTGAGAAGATTATAAAGATAGAAAAGATTTAAAAGATAATAAACAACCACATGTACTTGTTGACAATTTTTAAAGTTAGATTAAATGAATGATTTTATAGGAAAATAAATGGACTTAAAAATGATATTGAGGGCTGGGATTATGGCTCAGCAGTAGAGCTCTCGCCTAGCACGGGTGAGGCCCTGGGTTCGATCTTCAGCACCACATAAAAATGAATAAATAAATTAAAAATATAAAAAAAGTGATATTGAATCTTCCCCCCCCCACATACTTATGGGTGCATTATAATTGTACAGTTTGTGTAATCTGTTGTAAGAGGTTTTTATGAAACGTAAAAATGTCAATCAACACAGATACGTGTGTAAAAGTTCCCGAAATTCCCTGCCCCACGCCCACCAATAAAATTACCAAAGATTAACATAATCAGATAGATTCATAAGTGAATTTTTTAAATCATCAAATAATAGATGATTCATGCATTAAAACTCTTCTGAGGCATAGAAAAGGGCAGCAAATTTTAAGTTTACTTTTGAAAGTTAGCATAACCCAGCTATAAAACATTTTATAATGTTTTATAAAAATTTTAAACATTATATTTTAAACATTCTAGTAATGTTTTTCCATGTAAAAACATTACTAGAGAACAACTTGATTTATGAATACACAGGTAAACTTATAAGAAGAATGCACAAGTAGGGTTTATTCTAAAACTGCTCAACACTTAGAATAACTTGACTATCTAGATAGACATATTCAATAAAGCTCAACATTCATTTCTGATATAAACTAGCAGAAATTGAAATCACCTTCCTTAACTTACAAAAAAAGTTTAGCAGGAACTAATACCAAATATCAAAATTAAAAGTAAAAGCATTCACACTAAAGTTGGTAACAAAACAAAAATGTCAACCCTTCCTCCTATTCCCCAACATTACTATGATGTCCTAGACATTCTTACAAGACAGAAAAAAAAAAAAAACACAGATATATAAATGTTGGTAAGGGATACTTCTAATCTATAAAATTAAAAAGATTCAAATAAAAAACTACTAGAACTAACACAGCTTAGAAAGATGACAAGATGAAGATAAACATGCAAAACTCACTATCTTGCCTATATCCTAGTAATAGCAGATTGGAAATGTAATGGAAGAAAAATCTCTCTAAAAGAAAAAAATATATATATGGGGCTGTGGCTGTGGCTCAGCGGTGGCGCACTTGCCTGACATGTGTGGGGCACTGGGCTCAATTCTCAGGACCACATATAAATAAATAAAATAAAGGTCTACCAACAACTAAAAAAAAGAAAAAAAATAAATAAATTGTCAAATATGCAGAAGTAAAATAAATAAAGAAAATGCAAGGCCTTTATTTAAAAATGCTACTGAAAGACAAGAATAATCTAAATAAATTAAGAGCTACCCTTGCTCTGGAATTAAAGATAAATACTGTAACAATGTCAACCTCTTCCAATTACCTACAAATTCACTGTAATTTCAATTAAAAAGCTGAGTATCAATACAATTTTACCGGGTAAAACAGAGAATCCAAAAAGGAACATAGACATAAAAAGGGGATCATTTGGTAGAGGTAGAAAAATTAAGATTTCGCTTATTAAGTAAAAGCCACTAAAACAACTGATTATTCATTTTGTAGAAAAGAAGTTGGGACTTTACCTCTCATCATACACACACACACACACACACACACACACACACACACAAACATGAAATTTCATGTCACTAAAAACTTAACCACAAAAACAAGGTTCCATAAAAGACTAAAATTTAATAACATAAAATTAAAAAAATTTCTTATAGATAAAGATATCTTGTCAATAAAGAAATACAGGAGCTGGGGTTGTAGCTCAGTGGTTGAGTGCTTGCCTCACATGCGTGAGGCACTGGGTTAGATCATTGGTACCACATTAAAAAATAAATAAATAAAGCAAAGATATTGTGTCCATCTATAACTAAAAAAATTTTTCAAAAAAATTTTAAAGAAATACAACCCAAAGGACAAGAATGAAAGAAAAAAGTTCTCAAAATAAATAAAGGTCTATACACCCTAATTAATAAAATGTAAATTAAAATAATAAAATTTTACCTTTTAACTGCCTGGGTTGAAAAAGACAAAAAGTTGATACTATCCAGTTTTGACAAGAGTATAGAAAAAAGCTATCCCTCATGAGTTCACAAGAGTACAAACTAGTATGATGTTATTGGAAGGTAATTTAGTTTGTATATATATAAGAGAGAGAGAGAGAGAAATATGTGTGAGAGTAAATTTCTAATGTAAAATAATTCTACTTCTAAACCAGGCACAAAAGTGCCCACCTATAATTTCAACAATTTGAGAGGTTGAGGCAAGAAGATCTCAAGTTCAAGGCCAGCCTCAGACCTTAACAAAACCCTCAGTAACTTAACAAGACCCTATCTCCAAATAAGAATAAAAAGGGTTGCAGAGGGGCAGTGGTTGTGGCTCAGTGGCAGAGCACTTGCCTAGCACATGTGAGGCACTGGGTTCAAAACTCAGCACCTCATAAAAATCAATCAATAAATAAAATAAAGGTATTGTGTCCAACTACAACTATAAATAAATAAATAAGTAAGTAAAAATAAAAAAGGGCTGCAACGTAGCTCAATGCCCCTGGATTCAATCCTTAGTACCAACCAACCAACCAACCAACAAAAACCCTACTTTTAGGACTTTTTTCCTAAAGAAAAGACTCCATGGATATATAAGCAAAAGAATGTATATTCCAATAGGCTCTCTAATGGAAAAGAATGGAAAATAACCTGAAGTCAATTATATGAATTAAAGACATAGTCATACAACAAAACACCACTTTTTATGGTATGAAAAACATAGAAAGGTAGTCACAATAATTTATTATTTTTCTATTAAGTTAAAAATAAAAACTTTGCATAGATAGTATGCTATAATCCATTTGTTGAAAATATAAATAAATAGCTAAATAATGCCGAAGATGACAAAGGACTCTCTATATTTATATATGCCCAGGAAGTCTCTTAATTCTGAGAAATGGAACTGGGGATGGGGGTGGTGGGAGACATTCTGTTTCTATCTTATAATAAAGATATATATTCTTTTTATAATTACAAAGATGCTGAGAAAAGAAAAAAGGAGAGGAGGGTAAAGTGGGCGAGGGAAGGCAATCAGAGACCACAAAATAAAGGAGAAGCCACAACTTCAAAGGCCCCATTCAGCCCCTGAAACTCACCATCAATGTCCTAGCTACATTACAACCCAAGGTACCGGCTCCAAGCAGCAGACATTTGACAGATACAACCTTCTCCAGGTCCAGAGTAGGAACCAACCTCCAACACATCAATTTAAGATTTAGATCCACAGAAGACTCAGCTAACCTAGAAAATCAGAGATTTAGGTTTTTAGTCATTTAATTTATTTGTTCCCCAATCTTGTCCTCAGAGATATAAAGTCACTGTGCCTCTTTGTGCAGACGGATCACAGACCAGATGCAAATAAGCAGGAAAGGGGAAGCAAAGAAAAAATAAGATGTAGCTTGAGGATAAAAGTGTTCCATATGTATACATGTCATTGAAGTTCTCTGTCCTTGTTAGTTGTGGGCTACAAATTTGGTAGTGAGCTCCTAACAGCCAAGGTGAAAATGAAAACACAACCAACTACAAGTCAGGTCCATGAATAAATGCACACCAAAAACCTCAGAGAAAAATGTTCTTCCTGGTATTAAAGACAGAAATTTCTTCTATTTCTTCTTAATAATGAGTACACTTACATTCCCCCTTAAATAGGATACTAGCTTCCATTAAATATTGTTTTTATGTCTTTCAATGGAGGCTAATAGGACAAAAGTAAAAAGCAATGAATAAAGGTAGTAGTATCATTGTGGTAATTCTCATAACCAAACTTAAATTAAGCAGTAGATTTCAAGGAGCAGAACAACACTCAGTAGTATGCACAGCATACCCTGGACTGAATTATGCAATGCAGTATCAACCTAACATAACCTGTTCTGCATGCTGGTTATGAAAACCCCAGTGGCAAAAAGAACATCCAAAACATGTATACCTTTTGGGATCCATACATTCACTAAGGTTCACCATCCTTGGTCCCATGCCTCCTTTCTGGTTCTTTTCCCATCCGACTGCTTTAGGACAATCTTCAAGCAAACAAAACACAAGTTTAACAAAGGAAGGAAGAATAAAAATAAGTCAAGCAGCAAACATGTTTTTTTTTTTTAAAAGATCAACATTTACAATGGCCCATGCATTGATAAACTTTTAGTTCACTTCTTTCTCAGAGAGCTCCAAGAGCTTGCAATTTCCATCTACTTGCTCCAGTTACCTCTCCCACCTTCCTGAGCTATTAGGGTTCTTCTTTAGAGACCATTAGACCCAAGTACAGTGGTCCTAGGCAGGGGCTTGTGAAACAGTCCTCAAACCTGGCCCAAGGAGCCTCTACTTCTTTTGTTCCTAAAAATTGCTCAACAAAGACAATCAATCATATTTGGGTAGGTATAATTCTGTGGAAGACACTTTCCTTAAACAGGGCAACCTAATTAGCTCAGCATACATTCTACTGAAGTTCCCATAGGGATTCGGACCTCTAAGTCAGCATGTCCCTTCTGTTCCTCAACCTTACCCTATCCCACTGCTCAGTCTCAACTTTCACTGTGCCTCTTTGTGCAGACAAATCACAGACCCAGGTGACTGTTCCTCTTTTAAGCTGCCCTCTCCTGCTACAGGGATCCCTGTAACTCCAATTGCAGTGGTTCCAAAAGTATGCCTTAATCACTGTTAAACAGAGTTGGGAAATACTTCCATATTAACATCTACATCAATATCCAGTTCCCTAATACCAGCTAAAATAGGAGATTCACAATTGCACATGAGGGAGATAAATGCTCAGAGAGGCCTAAGATAAAATGACCACTTTGACTTGATGTTTTGTTTTTCAATCATGTACAGCATTTTGAATCTCTTTCCATTATCCCTTACACACCAAATAAAATCTCATGGATGTAGCTCAGTAGTGGAATACTTCCTTTGCATGTGCAAGGCTCTGGGTTCCATCCCCAGCACCACAACAAAAAAACAAAAAAAAAAAAAAAAAGAAAGAAAAAAAAATCCCATGATACAACACATTCAGGGAAGTGCTGCTTGATTCTATTGTTGCAAAAGTCTCTTACATTTTCTTATGTTAGATTTCTATCAGCACTTCCATTTTCCTTTCCTTGGGAAATTCTTTAGCCCTTATTTTTTAAATAGTATTGCTCAATATAATTATGAGATCAGGAAGATGTTGATTCCTTTGACATATCTTTTGTTTCTGAGCTGGTATGAGCAAGGGGAAGCCAGGGCTGATTATCCTTGAAAAACTACTTGGGCACCAATCAGCCTGGGATGTCATTCACAGCAAGAAGCCACAAAACACATGTGACTTCAAATTTTTAACTCACGTACTCTGATGGAGTCCTTTTTGTTTTTTAATGCTATGAAAAACTAAAGCTAAAATAATATATTCAAATTCTTAAGGAGATGAAGATATCAGGATTCTTTTCTAGGGAAAAATAGTTCTCATCTTCTAATTCATATTTTACTATGAATTAGTTAACTAATCTTACATTAAATATTCTCATGTTAAAATTTTAAAAATGCTTCTCCAATGCATAGCACAAGAATCTGACAAGATCTACCAAACCACACTGTAGTACTGTAACTGATATCAGCCTTGTTTTTCTCTTTACTGATAAGACATTTTAAGACAAAAAACAAATATCTCTTCAAGTTAAACCATCTACACACTCAAAAGGCTATAGCCATTTCTAATTTAAAACGATTAACAATGAAAAAAGTTATATAAACCCACCCTGCCCTTGTACTCGGGGCAGGGGGTGCTACAGAAGAAATCCACCAGGAAAGTTGGGCCGACTGCTCAAAGTCACTGAGGGGTCCCCTCACTTCTTCCATATTCCACTGAAGAGAACACTCTCTCCCATAGATGTAGGGGCACACTCTGTGTTCCCAAGGTCATGCATAAACCCGCAGGCTGCTCTGAGGTTCAGCTGACCATTAATGACCTTCTGCTAGTGGCACTAGGCCAGAAAAGGCAAAGTGAGGCAAGTATGCAGGTACAAGCCTTCAGTGTTCACCAAACACAGGCCAAAGCCTGCCTCCAAATGGGTAGCAAAGCTTAGGCAGGGACCCAAAGAGGCATGGCTGCCTGCCACTCCAAGGTTTTGTGCCACTGAAAACTCCCACCCTCTAGTCTAACAAAAGCCCAATGCCTAAACATTTTTATGCATTTCAGTCCCTAGCTGATCTGCCCACTCCTGTCTCTGGGATGCATATTCTTTTCTCTAGGTTTTTCCTCACCTTGCAATAAACCTGCTCTAATTACCATCTCTGCCTTGCTATACTCCTGTTTCTATGACAAGATAATTGCCCTGATCTTAGGCATTATACCCAAAAACCATGGATCAATCCATTGTGGACTCTCACACACTTGTAACCTACCCATAAGACACACCCAAAGGCTGAGGGTGTAACTTGGTGATAGAACACCCTAGGTTCCATCCCCACCACTGAAAAAAGACACACCCCAAATTAATGAGATAATGTCTTTACGGGAAATGAGATGTTCTTCTCCCACAATTAGAATCAGGAAGAGCACAAGAAAGGCAGGAGCTAACAAGTGGGGCTCTCATCCCACCTCAGCAGTGCCTGCTCCCTTCTTCAGCCAGTTGCCAGAACACTATATTAGCTATGGAGAGCATAGGCTGTATCATGGGGGTGCAAAAAGAGATTCAGGATATTTAAAATAATATTTCTTTTATCACTACAACTATAGTATATCTTGGAAATACGATCACGTGTCACCTAACAGTGGGAGCATGATCTGAGAAAAGGTCATCAGCTGATTTCATCATTGTGTGAATATCAGAGTGTACTTACCAAACGAAGACTAGGACTTTGTCTTGCTGTATACCCTGCAATATAATCTTATGGGACTACCATGGTCTGCTGTTGACAAAAACGTCACTATATGGCACATGACTATACTAACGAGTACTACTATGAATACATGGAATTCACATTATGCTATAGAATAAGATTTTTTTTTTTTTTGGTTTTGCTTATTATAAAGTTTTCCCTTTTTTGTTGTGGTACTGGTATATTATGAAGTTTCATTTGTAGCTAAGAAGAAAATCATTAATTTACATGAAAAACAGAAGAAAAACTGCCTTTCCTAAACTAAATAATCTACTTTCAATTCTGAGCAGAAGGAAGGTGTATTGAAGGTGTTACTGGATAAGAAACTTTTTTCATATGAAAGTGTGCAACAGTTCCTGAGTTTGAAATCAGCAGCACCAAGAATTAGCCATAACAGAAAAAGGGCAGTTCAGAATAACTCAGTGACTTAAAATGGAAAGTGCCTCACTACAGAATGGGGGTCAGCACTACCTGAGGGGCATGTAGGAGGCGCCTAGTGGCCTGCCAGGGACAGAGACCAGTCACATTTACATCTCAGTTAACTCTCACCTCAGTCTCTCTAAACTATCCTTAAGTTGTGGTTTAATAAAACAAACACAGGGAAGCTATTTTAGAATATGCCAGAAGAGGGTGCTAAATCCAATGCAAATCTCTAAAGACTGCAGAAAGGCTGCAGATTTCTTAAGGCTCTAGACTAAAAAGCAAAACAGCTTTCTCCTTTAACTGACCATGGAGAGAACTCTGTCCATGTTTCCACATTTCTATTTAAGACATCAGTGCCAGAGCACAGAATCACTGATAAAATGTCATCAGAGCCAATCCTGAGTCCTTTTGACTTTTGCATTATAGAAAAGATGTCTCAGAAGAGATGAGGTATCTTTAACATTCCCCCAACATACACACACAAGTTAAAGCACACCCATGGATTCAAGAAAGAAATGTGCCTTGGAACCCTGGGGAGGGTATTAAGAAATTAATTAAATGACATATGTGAAGGTGTTCTGCAAAGTATATAAGTGACATAGACATGAGGGATTACTCTGAAAAGAGGTATACACAGTGCTGGTATGAATAGTGAGATAGGAAATTAACATAATATTAATTAAGCATAATTCACACAATATTGATTAACACATAGTGTATGCCAGTCATTGTGCTGGTTTTTACACAGGGCATAGATTCCTCATAATAAATATACCCTAAGGTAGGCATTATTACTCCTTTTTTTAACATTTATCTTTTAGAAGTAGTTGGACACAATACCTTTACTTTGTTTATTTATTTTTAGTGGTGCTGAGGATCAAACCCAGGGCCTCGCACATTCTAGACAAATGCTCTACCGAATGCTCTACTGCTGAGCCACAATCCCAGACCCGCATTATTACTCTTATTTTACTCAAATTTGAGAATGAATTCTACTTCTATGACATATAAAATATATAAATACAAATGTGTATATCTATATACATTTACATATACACATGTTTTTCTATATAAAATGTCAATGTCAATTTCCTAATTTATAAAACAAGGATAATAGCTAACGTCTGTCACACAGGATCAAATAAAGACATTAAGTGTGGAAGGATAAACGGCACTTCTGCTGACTGGTTTACTCTGTGGAGAATAGGATCACACACAACATTAAGAATATAACAAATAAATATATAAGTGTACCAATACTTCATCCTTCCTCTAAGAAGGGACAGGAATAAAGATTTGGGGATAAGCAAAAATAAAAATGAATGCCAGGGGGGGGAAAAATCCTAAAGACTGAAAAACTATCTGAAGAAAATGTCCTGGTGCCAATCTCTGCCTTTGTTTTGGGCTGAATAGCAGAGTGTGCCCTCTTCCAAGAAGGTGTGCACCCCAGGGGTGAGGTAATAGTTGTACATTTCTCTCCCTTCTACTCCCATTGTGAAGGGATGAAAAGAAAGTGAACCAGTTTCAGTTTCTGATAAATGATAATTAGATGCATTCTCAAAGACCAGCAAATTACCTGGGCTAAATGCCATTTCTGGAAGCTTCACTTCAAAGATGATGCTGTGGGCAATGTCTCTCGCCCCCTGCATGGTGCGGTCACGGAAGCAAAGGACTTCAACAGACTGGAAACTGCTACTCCTGTTTTCATGTCCGGATTTTCATTTATTTTATTTTATTATTATTTTTTGGTTAAGGAAGGAAAAGAAAGAGACCACATAAGAATTTCAGCAAACCAGCTGCAGGCAATTTAATGTACTATAATTATTCCTCTCTGACACCCTTAGGGGTATGGCCTTAACTTTCCAAGAGACTTGAACATAATTCATATAGGCATCTTTTGTCCAAGTGTTTGGAGGCAGAATGTTGAATTGGCTGTGATATCTTTCTGAGTGAATTTTATATGTCGATCACAATGCAGAGAAATAATTTGGACAAATGAAGCTTTTAAATGCAGGAGTAAAGTGCTCCTGAGACATTGGGGGTGGGGGGGAAGCACTCATAAGGCATGGCTTCTTTAGCTCCAACCCCATTTGAATCCCACTTCATGAAACAGTTAAGTGTATTCAGTTAGTTATGTAGTAAGGAAGCCCATAACTAACTGAATACACTTAACCTCTGAATAAGTAGACAGATAACTAGTCTCCTTCTGGGTACAGTCTATAATTTATCTATCTTTGCATTTATTTTTATTTTACTTTTTTGGAACTGGGGATTGAACTCAGGAGTACTCAACGACTGAGCCACATCCTCAGCCCTTTTTTTGTATTTAATTTAGAGACAGGGTTTCACTGAGTTGCTTAGGGCCTCACTAAGTTGCTAAGGCTGGCTTTGAACTTTCGATTTCCCCTGCTTCCCCAGCCTCTGGGATTACAGGCATGTGCCACCATGCCTGGCCTATCCTTGTATTTTTAAGTAAACACTTTTACTTAGGTAAAGTAGACACAAAGAAAAGTGCACAAATCCTAAGGGTGAAAAGCCTGCCTCATGCCTCATCTCAGTTGTCACCCACCCCATCCAAAATAATTACCTCTCCACCTTCTAAGTCCTCCCCTTGGTTGTGCATATACTGAACTTTACATAAATGGAATCATACACCATGTGTTCTTTCAGATTCAGCTTATTTTGTCCAGCAGTGTGCTTTGTAAATCCATCCATGTTGATGCGTACATAAGCAGTTCAGGCAGATTCAATGCAGCAGAGCACCCCATTGTGAGGAAGACACTACAATTTATTATCTATTTCACTGTTGAAGGACATTGGGTTTATTCCCAGTTTGGGGTTATTAGGAATAATGCTGCCATAAACATTCTTGTATGTGTTTTGCTTTATCTATGTCTGCATTTCTGTGCAGAACATACTGACAGTGCAATTGCTGAGCCATAGATATTTTTAACTTTGGTAGATTCTGCCATTTTTTTGCAGCAGCTTTTGAAACGGCCCTATACTTTCAAATCCACTTGGTACAGTCACTTTTGTTAAGTCATTTTGGTGGGTTATGTGGAAGTCTCTCATTACAGTTTTAATAATATTATTTGATTTTATATTTTTGGAAATGGGGATTGAACCCAAGGGCACTTTACCACTGAGCCATATCCCCTGCCCTTTTTATTTCTTATTTTGAGACAGGGTCTCTCTGTGTTGCTTAGGACCTCACTACATTGCTGAGGCTGACCTCAAACTTGTGATCACCCTGCCTCAGCCTCCTGAGTCACTGGGAATACAGTTAAGTACCACTATGCCCAGTTTAATGTTATTTTCTTAATGATTAATGAAGTTGAGCATCTGTTCAAATATAGACTGGCCTTTAAGATACCCTCTTTTTAAATTATCTTAGTAATAGGAAAAAAAAAGAAGTATGATCACAACAGGAAAATCTTACTTGAAAGCAACCTACTTGACAGCTAAAAGGGAGGGCTAGAGAATTTCAGTATCAGGAACTCAGACTATCTGCCCTACCATGGCCTAAAATATCTTTAGTATGAACTGAGGCTGAAGCTCCCTAGCAGACCCACTTAAGACCTTCCCGATGACAGAAACTGGATCATAACCAATTTATTGATATACTTTCTAGTTTCCATGCTAGTAATTTTTTAAAAATTGCATTTGGGGAAAAAGAGATACAGACATAGCCAGATACATTGCAAAATATATAGACAAAGACATGCAGACACACAGACACATGCACACACAAATACACACACACACACACACACACACACATATACACACACACACTTGTAAATACCATCTGTGTGCTGCTAGGACCAAAAAATTCCTCAAAGGCCATCCGGGGTACTGGGCTAAGTTACAGGGATCATATACACCAACTGTTATCTGTGAACAGAAAAGACTTTCTGAGTAAGTCAAGTTTCAAGTCACTTTTATAATACAGACACAGACAGTATTCTGTCCTTTTTAAAGGCTGTTCTGAAAAGCACTGAAAATTAAATAGATGGACGGGTACAGAAAAAGAGAAAATAAAGGATTTCACACTTGACCACAGAACTTCTTGATGGCAGGAACTGTCACATTCTTCTCTGTATCCTTATACCTGGCAGTAGACATAGAAGAGAGCAAGGACTAGGTACATTAGGAAGGAAGGAAGGAAGGAAGGAAGGAAGGAAGGAAGGAAGGAAGGAAGGAAGGAAGGAAGGAAGGAAGGAAGGAAGGAAGGCTGGCTGGAAGGAAGATGGGAGGGAGGGACAGCAGTCAACTGTCAAGAGCTTATACAAAGAAAATTCTCTTTTCAAAAAAATCAGCCTTTGGGCTGGGGATATAGCTCAGTTGGCAGAGTGACTGCCTCGGATGCACAAGGCCCTGGGTTCAATACTCAGCAACAAACACACACACACACACACACACACACACACACACACACACACACACACACACAATCAGTCTGTGAAAATGGCTCATTAGTATGTCATTAGAAAAATCAAAAAAGGGATACTATCATTGTAAATCTGTAGTCAGTTCAAATCAAAATGCCAGATGTCCTGATATTGTGAACATACATGTCCTCCCACATCTTCCCTCTTTCCCTCCCCTGACTTAAGTATTTATCTGGAAAACTCTATTCAACTCCAAATACCATTTCTTCAATGAGGACTTCCCTTGGTAGGAGTCATTCTGTCACTTCGGCTTCCATCAATCTTTGTACCTCATATGTATAATCGTTTCACTTTCTCCATGTCCTTCCTCCCAAAGACAGTGAGCACCTAGCACTCAGCTCTTGATTTTTACATACCATTCTCCAATAAAAGGAATCAGGGTTTCCTTGGGAGGAGCATGAGTACTTCTAGGGTTGGGCAGGGAAAATACAAGATGAGCCTGGAGCATCTTGTAGTGCCAGAAAACTAAGGAAGTGCTAAAACAACAACAACAACAACAACAGAAAGGTGGGGCAAATCAGGACACAGGCACCAGCTCAAAGAGCTCTAGCTGGCCAAGGCTGTTTCCCAATCTGGGAAATAAAATAATAATGTGGTATTGGATTATACACACCCACACTGATATAAATAATGGAAAGAAGGTCAAGGAGCAACATCCTTGAAGATTTCCAAATAATATATTTATATATTATCCTCTTTGGTCAGGTGGATGGATGGAAGTGACTCACTTCCAAAGAAAACATGGTGACTTTACAATGGAGAAACATGGCAAATTATTACCTTAACCAAGTAATCAATTTAATGTTACCAAGGATGTCATGTGGTGATCAAGTATCCCCTGACGGGATGTGATAACAAGGATATCTCACTTCAATGCTGTTCCTTCTTCTAAAATCCCATCACAATGGTATAATCATAAAAGAATACAGACAGACCCAAAGGAAGTGACATTCTACAAAAATAGCCAACCACTCTTACTCAAAACTGTCAAGGTCATTAAATGCAAAGTCAGAGAGACGATTATAGAACAGAGGAGACTAAGAAGATGTGACCACAAAATGCAATGTGGTATCCTGGAACAAAAAGAGGATGTTATTAAAAATACTGGTGGAATCTGAATAAAGTACAGAGTGGAGTTAATAGTACTGTGCTAGTGTTGTCTTTTCAGTTTTGGTAAATATACCATGGTAATGGAAGGTAACAACCTTAAGAAAAGCCAAAACTGGGTGAAGGCATATTATGAGAACTCTCTGTGCTGTGTTTGCTACTACTTTCTATAATCTACAATAATTCCAAAAAAGTCTTAATAATTTTTTAATATTTTTTTAGTTGTAGATGAACATAATACCTTTATTTTATTCATCTATTTTTATGTGGTGCTGAGGATTGAACCAAGTGCCTCACATGTGCTAGGCAAGCCACAACTCCAGTCCAAAAGCTTAACTTTAAGAGAGAAAAGAGAAAAGAGGACAGTGAGAGTCTAGAGAACAGAGGGTATCTTTTTCATCTTCCATGACCAGGTGATAGACATACAACAGGCACTTGGTAAATGTTTGCTGGGTGATAAAAAGATGGATGGATGGATGGATGGATGGATGGATGGATGGATGGATGGATGGATGGATATAATCAGGTGGGTGCATAGTTAGAAGGAGGGTGGGAATAAAATTATGGCTGATAAGTTTTTATTTATGAGCTATTCCACTTAGTGCTCTATAAGGATGGAATCATCCCAGATACTTCCATTTATTTCCCGAAATAATCAGTATAGTGTCAGCTACAAAGGAGAAGCTAATGCAATATTCATATTAGGAAAAAAAAAAGAAAGAATGAATACCCACAACCCCACTATATTAACACTGACTAAGACAACCACTATTAACATCTTGTTGTACAACCAACCATAGCATTAATGTTGTTCTAGAACCATTGTTAGTAGTGATGAAATGGCGTTCCCTTGTATTGTGAACCAAACTTTTTTGTATTTCCTACTGGATGGATGGAAGTGACTCAAAAGTCTGCATCTGTACTCAGTAAATCTTGGAAAAGGGATTTTAGTGTGTGTGTGTGTGTGTGTGTGTGTGTGTGTGTGTGTGTGTGTGTTGCCAGGGATTGAACCTAAGGCCTTGTGGGTACTAGATGAGTGCTCTACCACTGAGCTACATTCCCAGCCCTTTACTGTTGTCTTATCACATACTTACTGCATTATTTTTAAGATGTTCTTTAAAAACATTTGCTACCTTCTCCATTACATAAAACTTTCTTATTCCTAACACTGAAGACTTTTCTGTCCAGAAGCATTTTTTAGTCTTAAGCACAAACAGACAGATTCATATTTAACACAAACAAGTTATCTATGGTCTTCTTTTCAGGAAATTCAGGATATTTTTATTTGACATTCCCTATTCCATAGGGAGATAAAATATCATCAGCATCTAGGAAACTTTTAAAAATAGACTTACCAAGACTATGCTGAATGCTGACTCTCAATACATGATTGGCCTAGCATTCAAACTTTCCAGACCTCTGTTTTTCTATCTGAATTATGGAGAAAATAATAGCACCAACTTCATTGGACTGTATTGGGGATTAAATGAGATTTTACTGAACATGAAAAGCCCAGCATATGCGCAGTGCCACTAATAGCACTATGAGTGACACAACCTCCAGTGGCCAGCTCAGCAACATGTATCTGCATTGAGTTCCTAAGCAATGAATATAACTTGTCCAGTCCATAGAACTGAGAATCATTAGAGGGTGATCTTGTCGACAAAAGGCAAAAAAAAAAAAAAAAAAATCCCTGGAGCTATTTTTCATTGCCTTGAAAACCCTGAATTGAGTGTATGGCTTCCCATGCTCACGGACTCATGCACCAGCAGTGGGAGCATCCCTTGGGAGGCTACTGGAAATGCAAAATCTCAGACCAACTGATCTGAGCCTGCACTTCAGTAGGAACCTCGGTGATTCTTATGAACACGCAAGTTTCAGAAACACCGCTCCATTACTCAACCCTCTTAGATCTGTGGTTCTCTACTTTGAATGTGCTTAGGTATCAGAAGAGGGGTATTTAAAGAATACTACTGTCTAGTCCCCACCTCCAGAGGTTCTGATGAGTCAGACTGGATTCTGACTTGCGCATTTGTTTTTGTTTTTGGTGCTGGGGGTGGAATCCAGGGCTTCACACACACTCCACCACTGAGCTACACACCCTCAGCCCCAGCTGTTTTAAAAGATCCTCAGGGGATGCTAAGGTACAGCTAGAATGCAAACCATGCTTAATGGTCTGCAGCAGAGTTTCTCTAAGTTTGGACCACAAATGACCATCTGCACCAGAATTTCCTGGAAGCTCAATGAACTTGCACCCACCCTCCAAATAGGATCCCACACTATTCTAAGCACCACTACCTCCATGTTCAGTGAAAACTCCATGGGATTCTCATGCACACTATCACTTCAGCACTAGCCACCCAGGATCTAAGAAGGAAAAAATGAGCACTTGCTTAAGGCAGGTTTCACTGTACCCTACATTGTTCCTTATTATAACTGTGACTATTTGTTAGACCCCTATGCTTTCTTGATTCGAAGGCACCAAACATTGTAAAATGCACCTTCAAATTGGACATGGAAGAAAGGAGTAAACAATATCATACTAACAGTCATACCTGACCATTACCAGAAATTCCTGGTTTTAGAAGAATTAAAACATGATGGAAAGAACATCTGAGAATGGAGAAATATGGGATGCCCTCACATGGAATCATTTTGCTGGTCTAGGAGCTCAGTAAGAGCAGGGACAACGTCTGTCATATTCATTTTTCCATCCCAGTTCTGTCATTTGCTGAACAGATGACAGAACTGGTTCATTTCTCCAGACCCCAATATATGAAGACTGCCTGTCCCTAATACCTTAGGCACAGGTCCTGGAGACAGCTAGAGGGGGAAAGGTGAGATCTGGGTGACATAGACCTGAAGCTTATATAAAAACCATGATGCAGTATCTTGCAAGCTCCTTTCCTATCATTACAGATTCTCCACTCAATATTTTTAGTTGTTTCTGTTTTGTGGTACTGAGGATTGAATCTAGGGGCACTGAGCTACATCCTGAGGCCTTTTTATTTTGGAACAGGGTCTTGCTGAGTTGCTAAGGCTGGCCTCAAACTTGTGATCTGCCTCAACCTCCCACATTGCTGGGATTACAGGTGTGCACCAATGCTCCTGGCTTAATGTTGTTTTAATACTAGGATTCTCTTGGGTGACAGTATAGTCTAAATGAGTGTTTCCTGTGACAAGCATGAGAACTCTATGGATGTGTTCTCCACCCAGAACTTCCTCCGAATTGAGAAGCTGTCTTCCTTGAGTTCTTCTAGTCTGGCTGGCCGCCACCTGCCACTCTTCCACTGGGGATACCTTTTTATTATGTTCCCGTCTGGAGATCATGACAGA